TTGTCTTGACATCCCTGGCTCCAAACTTCCTGATGGTTCCACATCTGCATATGTATAAGACTAGCTACTGCTTTGGGCAAAGAGATGAGGCCAGGTTTGGTTTCTGCTTTTCAAAAAATGCTTTTAAAAATCCTTTTGGTGAACAATATCTTTCTTTCTGCCTTTTTAATATTTCCTTCTCTGGGCTAACTTCCCACACCTCACCTGCACAAACTAACTTTACTTATCAGTACTGGTATAATAAAGGTGTGACTGGCATGTTGCCTGAAGACTTAAAATGCTCTCTTTTTTTTTGTCCTTGTAATCATGAATCTCTTCTTTTTCCAGATCACCTGTTGCATCCATAACAGTTTTCCTCTTTAAGTCACAGTAGTACTTATTCATATTCAGTGTTGCTAAGCCTTTCTTAAGTTGATCTTTTTATGATATCTCTATTTGTATGACTGCAAAATAAGTCAGACAAGTACAGCAACAGTATGTATGTCCTTATTTTTTTCCTGAGAACTATGTTTGTATAGAGAGTTGTGGGATAGTGAATATTGTGTGACCCAGTATTCTGGCAAACAGAAAATTATCCCATCCAGCAATTATGGTATGATAAATTTATATACTTTATACCATGTTTCTTCTTGGTTTGTTTTATAGTCACTAGCAGCATATTGAAATAAAGCTAAGCAGATCACTAATTTTCATGAAAAATTTTCATTTTTCATGAAAACACTTATAGGAATATACAAAGTAATAGCTTCTTCATGATGTATTACGGGCTCCCTTATAGTCCTAAGACATGATTTGTTTTAACCATTGTTTGTTGTGGCAGTAAGCCAAAATAATTAACAATATTACAAGTAGTTTTCAACTTAGGACCTTTTGTTCAGCAACCATTCAGAATTACAATGGTGCTACATGAAGGGACTTAAGATCTATATCCGAAGTATTGGGTATAGCATGAGGTAAAGTGCTCCCATGGTCCTGTAGTTGCAATTCGGGTGCCTGGCAATGTACCCGCACTTACAACTGATCTCAGGGATGCTACAACTGCTTCCCTGCATATTTTGCTCATCCCTCCTGCCCCACTGGGTTTCTTGTGCCTACTTCCTGGACATGCTTCACACCCTGCTAGGTCCTACAACCTTGGGCCTCTCCCTACTCCGTCATGCCTTGCTCTAGTTAACTCTTCTGAAGACTAAATTTCTAAAATAGCACCCAGCCATTGTCACATTATGCAGGCTTTTATAGAAGCTGTCTTGCATCATTCTGGAAGCAGCCACCATTCTTGCAATTTCTTAGTTCAGTTTTCTGCATGTGAATGGTGCCTACCTACAGAATAGTGTGGGTTACCTTTGCAGGATGGTTGTGCATTGCACCGACTGGGTGCTTTTTTGAAAAGCAATCTTTGGAAGAGGCAAGTGGAGCAAGGCGTGATGGGGCAGGAAAGAGGATCAAGGCCCGCAGGGAAGCTATGCAAGGGATGACTTGAGGGGGAGGCCCTGAGAGGTCTGGCACAAGCCATATGTGAGCTGGGGGGGTGCCAGCCACAGTGTGGGCCTGGTCTGCTCCAAGTCTCCCAGGGCCTCCCCCACCTCCTTAAGCATCCTGTGCTGCTCTTAATGACTTGTACAGTTGCTTAATGACTGCAGTGGGGTGAGCTGGGTTTATGAACTTGGAGTGAGGTGATCATATGAGTGCCTCACTTAAAAACCACAAAAACTTATGACCATAATTCCATGCTCAATTGTGGTTGTATGTTGAGGAGAACCTGTAGAATTTAGGAAGATAATGAACCTAATCTGTGTTTCATTCATCTTGAACAGTTTAGTTTAAAGGATAGCATTGTTTATTTGCTAGATGACTAAGGCTTTCTCCAACTTCCCTGTATGTCTTCTTGGCAAAAAGAAAATATACAAAACCAGACTTTCAGCTTCTTGGCCAGATTGGTCAAAGGAAAAGACTTTATCCTTCAGTGCAAAATATGTAGAACAACAGTCAAAAAGATGTGTGCAATAACTTAGAAATTAAGTTTTATGCTATTTTGATCACCATATTAAAATCTGTTAGAATGAGATAAAAAAGTTGTACTATAGAAAAATTAATTAATTAATCTTATTTAATTGTAATGGGATAGGTAATCTAGTGTTCCTCATGCTGTAATTCTTGTATAAGAAGTCTAAATGCCACTCTTGCAATTTAGCCTTCAAAGTTTAAACAACCAACTCTATTTAGAAATGGGTTGCATGCCAACAGTTAAAGCACTGCCATATAGGGTATGGCAAAACCAGTGGTTTTGGAATTAGATCATGATAAACTTGTTCAGCTTTACTATCACAAGTACATATTAAGTTTTCTCTCGTTCACTTATACTCAAACATACACACACAATTATTTTGTATTTTTGGTTTTCTTTTACATTTTAGCTTTCTGTAGCAGGAACTTCCATTATAGGTTGCAAATGAAAGAACAGTCACAGTTTATTAATCATATTGTAGAACTAGTTTATACAAAAACAGAGGTGATTGCTGATAAGGTTAATGTCTGTTTTAATATAAATATTATATATGTTTGTGTGCTTTTCAAAAATTTTAAGTTCACTCCATTTCAAGGCCAACAGATTCAAAAGTATTTTTCTAACCCCAGATACAGTTACTAAATCAATTGATATCTATAATCTTGTGAATGTGCTTTCCCTCTTGTTCATTAACTCTAAGTTATGGCTAGGAGGTTTGGTATCCTAGAAATTCTATGAACATATTACTTTTTAGACAAACCAATAATATCTTGAATCTTGCTAATGAATCAGTATGTTTACAACAGTTCTGAATTTTCAGTGCTTTATATCATTGATTCCTCAATTTTAAATGCTTCAAAGAGAGACATAAATGTATGTTCAAGCCTTAAGTAGCTTTAATGAGATGTGCCAGTACAATATTTGTTAAAAGTATTTATTGGGTTCATTTCGCATAGAAATTGGTAAAGTGTCTTGAATGTATTCTTTTTATGAATTAGATTCCTGTAATATTAGAATTTATTGACCCTAACCATAACCCAGACAACACGTTGCTTAAGTACTTATGATTGTAAAATTAGAAAATTAATAAAATATTTATATAAAAAAGAAGAATGTATTGATTGGGAATATTTGAGCCAAGTAAGTGGAATCATGAGTAGAACTTCTCTTCTGCCTTGTCGTAATACACAGATACTCATTTTTTTCATCAAAAACCATATTTTTTATGTTTTAGACAGCAAATATGTGTAACTTCCTTTTCTGTCAAAAGACATTAAAGAAAAGGGAAAAAGAGGCTAATTCCATGATAAATTTTTGCAGGATATAATGCTGTCATTTTACTATGTAGCTTTCAATCACTCTTATTTTTTTAAAAAGGTTGCTGTGCACTACCAATCATACATATTATTTATAGATCCCCAGTTCATGGTTTTACTTTTTAATTGTAGTAGAACTAATCTTTTAATATCTTTGAAATTTTCAACCTATTTTGTTCTAGGATGTTCAGAAGGAGAGAGAAACTCATAATTACCTCACCAAGGAAGCAATCAAGGAAAAAGTCCAAATATACAATTCAGATGTTACTGACAAGCTAAAGATGACATTGGTAAGCTTTTTATATACAGTGTTTAGTATGATTAGGTAGCATGTCTGTTTGGGACAGAAAGGTTAGTCTTGCCTTCCTGAAGTCAGTACTAGATGTGATTATCAGTGCTATAAATTATGGCAAATAAATTCTATATTGCATAAAATATTTCTTAGCATTCACCTCCTCGCTTTGCAAGAATTCATATTACTAGACAGGATTATAGCTTGTCAGACCCAGACAGGCAAAGGAAGATGGGAGCATTGGAGAAAAAGCAAATGTGGGACTGTCTATTTTGTTGTTCACGTGGTCTCTGTGTATTACAGTTTACTGTACTTAAGGTGGAATAATGAACAATCATCAGAATAATGATGTGTCAGTAGTATGTGACTAACCTAATGCGCATTGCGCATGGATACAATGTATGTATCAAACCACCCATTGTATACCCATGAGAAGTGAACATAATGTATTACAATGTATATTACAATGTGTATTTCTTTGTTCCTGAAAAAGGATAGTATAAAACTAGATTCTGAACCTGCCCTCGGGGTTCAGAATTGCTTGGTTGCTATTGCTTCTGAACCTGTGCAATAAACCTCTCTACTAAGACCCTCTGGAATTCGTAAAGAGTCCTTTCGTTTTCCACAAGATACTTATTCAGTCACAATTGAAGTATACAAATACTGAGCTACATTTTGTGGCTCTGAATGTTCCTTCTCACTGTGCATGCTTAAAGGACTTAGAAATATAAATCTCTGATTTTTGTGATTGCAATTTAGTCACATTAAGGTGAATATTAAGAAAACATGTTCTTTTTCCATTTGAAATGCTGGTGCTTGCTGAACTGTGGTTTTTATAGTATTAAACTTTATTGTATTATTATTGTTCTTTTTTGTTATTGTGTTTACTGTTTGGCTTTTGTGAATTGTTTGTGCATTGTACATCCTAACTTATGATTTGAATATACAAGTCCAGCAATAACTATCCACCATCTGACAGATGCCCTCTGTGTCTTGTGTGTTTGAGCAAGGAGTGTTTAATAAATTATAACATCATTCATAATGCAATTACTCTACTTTTCTCAAAGACTTTCTGTGAGGCTATGCACTATAGCAGTTATTGTGGCTGCCAGACCTGATCAGTACCAAAGAATAACTGGTTTAATTGTTACATTTTTATTGTGCCTTTATTATTTTATAAGTAATTCAAAGTGGTGAATCTACTCCTTCCTCTTCTTATTTTCCCCACAACAAAACCCTGTGAGGTAGGTTGGGTAAAGAGAGTGATTGACCCAGAGTCACCCAGCTGGCTTTCATGCATAAAGCAGTATTGGAACTCAATCTCCTGGTGATCGGCCCAAAATCACGCAGCTGGCTTTCATCCCTAAGGCAGAATTAAAACTCACAGTCCCCTGGTTGTGTTAACCAGACTTATTCCACATCTTGCATAAGATCATTCAATTTGGATAAGGGTACCATTAACTGCAGCTTTTAAAGTCATTTTTCTGGCATACATTATACAACAACCTAGTCCTAGCTGTTGATTTTGCTTTGGTTGCATTGATTGTTCTTTTCCACCTCAGGTAAACATAGATTGCTAGTTATCTTTATGCATGGTGCACAGAGATCTCAACATAAATTTAGGTTGCTTATTTGTAACCTGTGGACTTGGATTCTTCATGTATTCATATGATTCTCCCTACATTCCTCATGCAGACATTTAGATGCTTACCTGTGAGTGATTACGGTGACCTCATGGTTACAATGTGCAGTGGGAAGGACTCTTAAGGGCCTATGAAAGTGCAGAACAAATTTAGAATGTTCTGATGATATCTGCTCAGAAATCTCATATGTGCAAATGCCTAGAAGACTGTTCAATTGTGATTACAAATGGTGGTTTGCTTGTTCAGCAACCTTTCAACTTAACGGTGCTGAATGAGCGGTACCACTTAGAGAGGGCTGTAAAGCACTATGAAGTGATATATAAATCTAAATGCTATTGCTGCTAAGTGCTACTTATGGCCAGTTCTCAAACCAGCTATCATAGATCCCCATAAATTTATGTGATCACAACTTGGGTTCTCAATGCCCAGCTTGCAGTTATGTTGTTTTAGTATCCTGCGGTCATTTGATCACCATTTGCAATCTTCACTGCCAGTTTCTGACAAGCAAGTCAATGAGGAAGTCAGCAGGATATCATAAATGGTGGTCACAAGACATTGTGCTTAATAATGGTGATTAACACTGGAAGTGCCAAAATTTCTATTGCTAAGCAACATGATAGTAAAGCACAATGTCATGCGACTGCACTGCTTTGCAATTGAAATTCTGGCACTTCCAGTTTCCACTGTTAACTGAGCATTATTACCTGTACTGGTAAACAATCTGTACTTACCTAAGTATTGAGGGGAATAACAATCTGATTATTTGCTGAGTTTTTCTTTCTTTTCCCCTGTGCCATCTAAAGCATGTACATGAAAATGTATCTGTTCTCCATTTTGTTATAGAACACATGAATATAATTTCATTGTTATATGCATATGTATGTTTTACTTATAGAACGCAAGCGGAATATATACTGGTTTCATAAAAGTTCAGATAGAACTTTACAGACCTATCACTCTGCAGACTTCTGTGAATGTAGGGAAGTATCTCAACAGCAATGAAACAACTTTTTATTTGCCCAATGGCTATATGAACACTCTTCATATCAGCAGTACTAACACAGTCCGTGAAGTGATTGAGGCCTTGCTCAAAAAGTTTCTGGTGGCTGATAATCCTGCCAAGTTTGCACTTTATAAACAATGTCATAAGGAAGATCAAGGTATGCAAATAGATTTTTCCTGAGTTGTAAGTTGATTAAAGAAAAATATTTTGATGCTAATTTTATTCTTTTATGATTTGACATAGAATTATTTCTGAGACATTGTATGTTGGAAAATAAATTTATTTGACAAACTGATCATATTTCTAATAAAATATCAAAAACTATTAAAATAGCAGAAATTAAATTTCCCTTTTTGAACTGTTTCATGCATATGTATGATAAATTTCAGCTGAATAGAATCTTTGGACAACTTTAATGTTTTATTTGGTTCTACAGCCAGCATGCAGAATCTTATATACTTGTGTGAACCAGGAAATTAGGGGTATTAGTGTCACAATGAATTGAATTTTGAACAAATTTGATTTGATACTTGTTCTAAAAGCTATTAATAGTTTGGTTGAATTAGGTGATGTCAATCTAATGTTTGCTAGTTTAAGGAGAGTACATTTGGGATAAAGTCAGTACTTTTATCTTGGCTTCATAAAGATATTACTTGTTTTTCAGAATAACTGATTTAATCCATGCTGAGCGAGTGTTTATGTGGTTTCATGGTTTCAATTTCCAGGCCTGTAGCAAATAAATCTCATTTTAGGGTTGCTTGTTTGCTTTTGTTAGTTTCTTTCATAAGCTTAGTACTCTATTCAAAAGTTCCTACCATCATTGTGAAGCTGATTAATGGCCTTGATTGTGGTTTGTTAAGCCTAATATAGATAGCTTTATAAACCATGATTCGGGAACTCCTCTAATTTCAGAGTGCATGTTTTTTTTTCTTGTAGCACTTTTGAATTATGAGATATAGCTATTGATTGCTAATTAGCATTTTACATTCTAAGTGAGTTTACATTTTCCTTGTATTGGAAAATCTGGCAATACCTAGCTATCTGATAGTCCAACTAATATTGACTTTTCACTCATTCACTTTTATATTTTCTGACATGTTCAGAAGGGGTTACTGGGGCTTATGTTGTCAGTAAAAGAAGATCAAGTAGCTTTATCTTTGGCTGGTGCTGTGAACAGGTTCCCAAGACACCAGAGAATCTGATAAAAAAGAGGGAGACCTATCAGAAGAAGAGCTGAAGAAAAAAAACTCCATTAAGGACCTTGCAAGATCGTTTTATCAAAGCAATTTTATGTTTATTGTCAGGAATATTTATGTGGAGTACAATCTCCATAGCCATTTTAGCATTAGCTGCCACAAGGCAGAATCTGCCTGACAGCTACCTTTTTTCTATGGGAGGAATAGTGGCCTCATAAAAAAGGTGAGGTGACTTTTCTAAGAGTAATCTCGATTGCTGTCAGCCTTTTGAAGGAGACCGGATCAGGAAATACACTTTATTAAAAAAAAAAAAAAAAAGAAAACTTTGCCTTCTCTTCAATTCTTAGCTTTCAATCACCAATTAATTATATATCACCTTATCAATATATCATAACATTTTATAATAAACAATAATCCCTCTACCCCTTAATATACAATGCTAAAATTTTCCATATATAAGTATTTTTTTTTCAGAAATCCCTTATAATTCCACAACTCCACCATAATAACCGTTAAAATTCAGAACACTTTTAAAATTACATCCCACAATATTAATTAATGCCAGTTACCATGTAACTAAAGTAACCACTAAAATTATTTCTTTAAAATTACATCCCAAAGTACCTTATCAATATATCATATCAAAAGTAACATTTTATAATAAACAATAATCCCTCTACCCCTTAATATACAATGCTATAATTTTCCATATATAAGTATTTNAAAATCAAATATAAACTACAATAATCTATCTACATATAACCAATCCATCTTCACCAATCCCTTAATCTTAATAAAAAAAAGAAAAGAAAACTTTGCCTTCTCTTCAATTCTTAGCTTTCAATCACCAATTATATATCACCTTATCAATATATCATAACATTTTATAATAAACAATAATCCCTCTACCCCTTAATATACAGTGCTAAAATTTTCCATATATAAGTATTTTTTTTTCAGAAATCCCTTATAATTCCACAACTCCACCATAATAACCATTAAAATTCAGAACACTTTTAAAATTACATCCCACAATATTAATTAATGCTAAAGTAACCACTAAAATTATTTCTTTAAAATTACATCCCAAAGTACCTTATCAATATATCATATCAAAAGTAACATTTTATAATAAACAATAATCCCTCTACCCCTTAATATACAATGCTATAATTTTCCATATATAAGTATTTTTTTTTCCAGAAATCCCTTATAATTCCACAACTCCACCATAATAATCATTAAAATTCAGAACACTTTTAAAATTACATCCCACAATATTAATTAATGCCAGTTAGCATGTAACTAAAGTAACCACTATAATTCAGAACCCTTTTAATCATATAAATATTTCTTTAAAGTTACATCCCAAAGTATTAATTAATCACATCAAAAATAGCATCTTTTAACCACTAAAATTCAAAATACCCTTTTGAATCCACACCTCCATCAGAATATCCCATCTCCTTCTCCAAAATTTTTTTTTTTAAATTAATCTCTTAATATCTCGAGCAAAAATACCCTATATTATTACATCACAAGATACTCTTAAGAAATAAGCAATAATATATGCAATACATAATTTTCCATTTCTATAAGTGTTTCTTTAAAATTACATCCCAAAGTCAGATATATCACCTTATCAGTATGTCATATCAAAAATAACATTTTATAATATATTGATTAATCACATCAAAGATAGCATCTCTTCAAAAATCCCTTTTGAATCCACACCTCCACCAGATCTCATCTCCTTCTCCAAAATTTTTTAAAATTAATCTCTTAATATCTCGAACAAAAATACCTATATTATTGCAGCACAAGATACTCTTAAGAAATCCCCCAGCTGCTTCTAATATGCAATACTATAATTTTCCATTTCTATAAGTATTTCTTTAAAATTGCATCCCAAAGTCACAACTGAGTCCATCACCACCTCTTCTCTGTATCCTTGTAAAATTTCTTTAGATATTTCCAATCCAGTTTCCGCTTTTGCCGCCAATCCTTCCAGATATCTTCCTTAAAATCCAAATCTTCTTCTTGAGTCTTTG